TTGCATATCCAAACGATTTACATCGCCACCACAGACAATAGCCGCTTCTGGGTGTTTGTTCAACACAATGTCCACAAAGGATATTATATAATTAATCAAGTCGAGATCCCGGTAGCTATGCTTGGGAGGATTATACAGGCCGCAAATTAGCATAATGTGATCGGACGGCAACTGCACTGTTAAAGCAATAAATTCATATAAATTGGACCGATAGACATCCAAGACTTTAAGACTGTCTCTCACATAGATCGCAACACCCCTTTTTTCCTTTTGTCCAAGTCTGCCCAACCTCTGTCCCGCCTGAACACATTGTAATTTGGGATATTCACCACGGCGTCCGGCATATTAGTGGAAAGATGAGTTTCACTGACAATACACACCTCAATATCCTGAGATCTCAGGTCAGCCTCAAGCGCCACAGGTGCTCGTACACGATTTTTGTTTTCGACAAACCACAAATGTTCGTAAACAAACATTTTGGGACAGCGAAACCCTTTGATTTAGAGGTGGATGTTTTGTCGGTTGTGTTGACACGCGGAATGTTAATTAAGTTACTCCGATCCACTTTCTGACCTTCAGCCTTGATGAAACGGCGGCCTTGCATCACCGGGATTTTCTTGGTTGAGATGGATCGTGAGATTCGAGCACTATGTTGCCCACGGTATTTCAGAATGCCGAGTGACTTGAACTGAGATAGAACGGCCGGAGATGGCTTGAAAGCTTTGTTTCGGAGAGACAAGAGTTCAGAGCATTTCAAAAGACGCTGGCTTAGTTCGCATTAACATCGGGTAGTTCTTATTAACTCCTCCGAAACTCCTGTCTATCTCTGGACCCGGTTGTGACTCTACGTCCATATCTATAGTGATATCTAGCGTGATATATTTCTCCGGTACTGCAAGCAAGGTTAGACCATGGACGCCCCACAACACCACCGGCCGGCGAACTCTAAATTTAGTAGTAGTAAACTTGGATAAAATATGTTTGAAAAGCCAAGGACTTTCAGCCCTCCTATAGTGACAATTGTAGCATTCTTGGGCAGCATTTAAAACGAAAAGAACACCAAAAATGGTAGATAGGCGAAGAGCTCCAGAAAACGTGGCAGCCATGTTGGCGCCTTTCACAGAAAGTGTAATAATGCTACCATACTGCATTGCATTCATAGCGTGTATGTCATCTGTCATCTCATGAAGGATCAAGTTCTTTTAACTGTAGTGGCTTGTCTTCACTTTTACACTTCTTTTCCGCTGCCATCTGAATTTCTGTAAATGTTCTTTTGAAATTTCAGGTGGGAAGATTCTCACCCGCATTGTGTCATTTCTCTGGAGCAAACAATGATATTTCTTTGACTTTCTGTCATCAAACGAAAGTTCACAATGAAAAGCTTGGGAAAGACAAAACAATTCTGCACACTGTATGCCCAATCTACTCATCATAAATTGAGCATGAAACAAGATATTAAAATCTCTTGGCAAGAAAGGTTTCAAACATGTGTGAACTTTGTTTTGTTGTTTTGATTAGGGCTGATGTGTTTGAAAAAATAAGAATCAACTGGTATCTGAGGTGGAATTCCTAAATGCTTAAATCTGTGACAAGTTTGCCCAAACTTTGTTTGAGGAGCTGCATGAGAAGGGTTTATTTCCAAGAGCAGTTCATTTGACCATGGGAAGAGCATGGGAGGAGCAGTCGACTATTTGATCAATACAATTTGATGATAATTCTACAATTAAAAATATTGGAAGCAAAACAGAGTGTTACAGCATCGAGACATCTTCAGAATCCTTTTGACAAAAATTGCAAACAATCTACTGCTATTTGATAATATAGTCCCAGAAATATAATGTTCAAATGATTGATTTTGAAGCAAGTACAAAGAGGTTATGTTTCATTACAAATATACTGGATTTGCTTACAACTGTGTTGTTACAGTCAGATCAAAGTGTTCAATTTGTTATTGAATAAGAAAAAGATGTTTTAAATCTTCTGTCACTACACCAACTGCATTCAATGTAAATATATCACTAAATGCAGCATGAGCAGAAATTGTAGCAAACAAGTTGCAGCATTCTCTCAAATAAGCCCAAGCAGGTTCTTGGACCATAGCTATATCTATCTGTTCATCATAGTTTTCTAACTGTAAACATGCATCTAGTGCTATTTGAAAAAAAACACATCGCAATTGATCTCTGGTAGAGAATCCTTAAGAATAGCAAAAGCAAGTTCAAGAAAAGAGTCAAGTGCCCCAAAAACTTGCCTGGTTGTGTCAAGCAATAATTAATAAAGTGTCTTTGAGCACCAGGACTAGGGTTTTTCTCAATATCCCCACATAGGCTGAACTTGAAATGTGTCATTTGATGCATCAGGCTTTTATGTACAATTTCTGTTGAACCAATCTGACTGGTCACAGTTGTCATACTGAGTTTTGCTCTCACTCTCTATTTCTCTATTTCTGAGCCATGATTTTTTGTATGTGATCCATGTTTTGATGCATAACATATTCAATGAGACCACTTGTTTTTTGTGTGGGCAGAAGTTGTAAACAGCACTTTTTGAGTAAATCAATGTTCTAAACTGATGAAAAAGTAATTTAAGTGTTAGTGAAGCTTTCTTCTCTGCAACTTTTACATAATTTTCTTAACTTGTATCCTAGAAGATTTACGATTTCTCGATCGTTTACCTTTTGGTCCTTGCGTAATACTTCTTACAGTCAATCTGTAGTTGCACATACTTTTAATGCTTACCACAGCTTTTGAAGATACATGACGAACAGAGGGTTGTGGTACAGGGAAAGTATGCTGTAAAGCAAAATTGCTAATATGACCCAACTGTCAAGGCTCAGTGATGTTGTAGCAACCAAAAGATGAATTTAATCGCCGCCACAATGGACTTTGTGTTTCACATTGTTTGGGGTAAAATGTGTTCAAAAGCCATAACGGGTCACACTGATACTGTCACCATTGACAGATTCATTGAATTGCTGCAACAACGGGCTTTGCATTCCAAATTGTTTGGGCTGAAATGTATCCCAAAGCCACACAGCACACAATAGGCAATGGTTCTCACTGATACTGTCGCCATCAACAGATTCATTTAATCTCTGTTACAACAGGCTTTGCATTCCAAATTGTTTGGGCTGAAATGTATCCCAAAGCCATGCAGCCCACAATAGGCAATGGTTCTCACTGATACTGTCGCCATTGACAGATTCATTTAATTGCTGTTACAACAGGCTTTGCCTTCCAAATTGTTTGGGCTGAAATGTATCCCAAAGCCATGTAGCCCACAATAGGCAATGGGTCTCACTGATACTATCACCATTGACAGATTCATTGAATTGCTGCAACAACGGGCTTTGCATTCCAAATTGTTTGGGCTGAAATGTATCCCAAAGCTACAAAGCCCACAATAGGCAATGGTTCTCACTGATACTGTCGCCATTGACAGATTCATTTAATCACTGTTACAACAGGCTTTGCATTCCAAATTGTTTGGGCTGAAATGTATCCCAAAGCCATGCAGCCCACAATAGGCAATGGGTCTCACTGATACTGTCACCTTCAACAGATTCATTTAATCACTGTAACAACAGGCTTTGCGTTCCAAATTGTTTGGGCTGAAATGTATCCCAAAGCCATGCAGCCCACAATAGGCAATGGGTCTCACTGATACTGTCACCATTGACAGATGCATTTAATTGCTGTCACAAGGGGCTTTGCATTCCAAATTGTTGGGGCTGAAATGTATGCCAAAGCCCTGCAGCCCACAATAGGCAATTGGTCTTAATTGTGAACAGAAATTGATGCGATACTTCCTGCTGTAAGAAAGATTTCTCTTTCAAAGTGGCCCATAACTTGAACATGGTGACGACTGTTGTATGAAATTGGCTTGTACTGGAGGTGTTGACACTGCTTTTTGTTTAGAAAAGCACAAACACCACAACTTTTTCCTCCATCTGCCATGTAAAAACTTTGAAAGCGGTGATAACTTCAACATGCAAACTTGAAATATATGTATTGATTTTATGCCCTTAAGAAGACTCTCCCACAAAACAGGGCAGAGAAATCAGCTGCAAAGAATTAAAGGTCAAAAACACATGCAATGGTGAAGCATTTTCGTCATTTCCAGTTGAAACCAATGACGTCACAACATATAAGTTGCATATCCCAAGGGATCATATTTAAGCCAATGAAATTGTACAACATAGCAAATGTCCTGTGGGAATACCATTTCATAGACTGAGAAACAACTGAATTTTAAACTGGGCAAACCCAAGAGGGGGTAGCTCAGTGAACAGTAACCATAACAGTGGTATGGCAAATGTGTCACAGTTTACCATTTCTGATTTCACTGAGTATCAAAAAGTTGTCCTGTTTGTGCAGATTGCATCAGATGAACTTTTAGCCTTTTTTTGGAATATAAAATCTGTGGCTGCTATGGGTGAGTAACTCTCAGCAAATCAATTAGACAGTTTTTAATGTGACTTGACAATATATTTAATCTCAACAATTGCTGACCATCGATCAGATCAGTTAAAACTACAAACAAAATAGGGAGGGAAAACTTGTTACAATGTAAAGTAAGCTAAATAGAGAATAATGCATGGGCGCGAGTACATAAGGAATTTCTCTGCAAGTGTTTAACTCACTGGCCTATAAGTGAGATGTCAAGTTGAACACGAGAAGAGAAATTCTACATCTACAATCAACCATGTATTATTTTGTTTATCATATGAACACAATAGCCCTTTACTGAGAAGAAAAGTCGACTTCATTAATGAATGAAAATAGATGAATTGGAAATCCCTGAATAACAGGGATGGTAGAGTGTGTTGGCACTAAATCTTTAGATGGAAAAATGCGTTGAGTCATGATTACAAAAACAACAATGGTTGTAATTTTCAATTTACAAAATTATCATTTAATTACTTTGTCCTTACTGACAGAAGAAGTCTTTCAGGTAAATGGCCAAAATCGGCCAGTGGCAAATCTTCAAGTTTTCAATTTTCATTCTCAGTCGAGAAAAATGCCAACACCAAAGCCACTGAATACATAACTTTCGGTTTTTCTTTAGGTATTTTGGTTTTCTTCCCCTTCTAAAAAAAAATTGGAATCTCACTGTCTTCCAGTGATACAGATTTTTTCATGTTTTAGCTGGCATAATTCAAGAAGGTTCTGACAAACTACCTTGTATTGAGAATCACGAAGGCTTTACCGTTCCTTCATCAACCTGAACAAGAGGTGCCAAAGGCGAATGATGTGTCAGCGGCTGATTGGCTATATCAACATATTTTTTCACGTGTGTTATGGCTTTTCTCAGGGCCGGAAATCCCTGTATAACATCGCAGTTTATGTGATAAATATACTTAACACGAAACATGCTTAGGAAAATTACAATGAAAATAATGATGAAAACTACCCAATACAAAACTTACATTTGCCACAATGCTGTAGAATTACTTCCCAACGGTGAAGCTGCACAATGTGTGGTGCGATGAAATATAAGTTCTGCTTTGCCAGTGGTATTACTGAGTAAACAGTCTAAATACATGCTGCATTAAGCAACATTATAAAATGTTACATAGCATAGCATACGCAAAATTTTAACTGTAATTAGTGTTGTTTGTAGAGGAACAATAAACCAAAAAAAAGGTATTTGTGATCCATAAAATCGTTCCCTTGTTTTCAACATTGCAAAGAAATGGTAACCAAAACAGTATTTCATAATAATGGTATAGCTTGTGCCACAATCTCTCATTTGTGTCACTGAATATCATGAGGTTCAATGTGTAAGAAATCCTTCAAAAAATTAAGTGGAAAAAAGGAAATTAAAAGGAAACTCTTTGATATTCTCACTTAGAAGACTCATACTGACACTCAACCAATCATTCCAAAGGTCAAGCTTTTCTAAAATTTTGGACTAATTCTAGTGAGATTCTTGGCTGCCAACATGTTATATCCTTAGTTAGTTCTTTGCAGTTCTAGTCCGTAAATGATTTTGTAAATTTAGTTCGTCTGTGACAGTAAATTTGTCCTTTTAATAATATCATTACATTAAAAGTAATTTTTGAAAATTTATGTAATAGTTTTACTTCTGACAAGCAACACACCCATAATAGCACTCAAGCTAGCCAAGAGCACATGAACACCTGTAAATATGAATCCACAGTGTATGTATGTTTCCATTACCAGTGTTAAAGCCCTGTTTGAAAAAATATAAATTGTAGAAATAAGGGGACAATTTTTTATTCCCACAATGGCTGAAAGTTTATTTGTGAAAATTAATTTGTTTAAAGTTAATTAATCTTTGCACAATCCAGAGAACGTTTTGATACTCAGTGACATCACAAACGATAACAATGTTGTGGTTAATGTTTCTTTGTAGTGTTGAGAAAGAGAGAATGATTGAGTGTCCCAACTATAGTTAAAGTTTAATTTGATGCAATCATTACATAAACAGGAGAATTTAACAAAAAACATTGGCATTATTGATCAATCTCGTTTTATTAACATTACCTTGCAGTCTTACAACTGAATTGCATGAATTAACACCAAATTGTGGGAAAAAATCATATAAAACAAAAAACTTAACTATTAATTTATCCCAGGTATAAAAAAGTATAAAAATTCATTGAATTGTTTAATTATACACTTATAAATGAACGAGTCAGCCACTCTCTTTGTTTCGGTGGATGGCTGTTGATATTCCTGTTTCTTTCTGAGGTTATATGGTGACTTGTTTGAGGGTGGATTTAGGTAATGGATCTTGCAGACGTGTTGTTAGCTGTTGACTGAAAGAGTGGCAAAGTCAGTTTTTTAAATGATCCTGTGGGTTGTCTATTCTGGCAAGCTGGAGGGCATTTGCATGTGATATCTTTGGGAAAATGCACAAGAGAGCTCTCCTCTGGACTTTCTCAAGTTGTAGATACTTAGGTAATGCATAATGTAACACTGGGTATGCCTTAATGTCCTCGCATCATTTCATGTGAAAACAAAAAGAAATCAAGAAAACATTTTAACCCTTTACACCCCAATATCAGTATACGTTTCCTCTATACTGCTTTCTATTCTAAGAGTTCATGCCCCGGTTGTTCAAAAGCCAATTAAATTATCCCTTGATTAGAGGTTAATCAATGATTAAATTTCTTATCTCAAGGATAGCTAATCTAGGTTTAAAATAACGTTCCTGAAAGCAGATTTATCCCTTTATTAACTATCCCATGATTAAGCTGAGATTAAACCAGTCAAACTGGTTGTTAAGAGCTACACGGCTACGCACGAAAAAAAAATTGGAGGGGAAAAAATGGTGGAAAGGGAGAGTGCACTTGGAAGTGGAAGCCAAATGAAAGAAAGAAAAAGAATGCACAATTTTTCAGCTTATGAGATTGAAGTCATCACCAATAATGTCAAAAAAAATCTTGACTTGATCCAATCCAAATTAGCGAATGCTGTGACCAACAAATAGAAACAAATGCTATGAGAAGAAATAACCCAAGCAGTAAATGCGGTCAGAACAGCCAAGTGAACAGTCAAGGAGGTAAAAAACAAGTGGAAAAATCTCCATAGCATTGCCAAGAAAGAATTTGCAGAATTCAAGAGTGAGACCAAGATAACTGGAGGTGGTTGGCCTCCAAAGTCACCAAGTATTGCCAGCAAAGAGATTATTGAGGTGCTTGAGGACATGCCGGCGTTCCGCTGTTTGATTGGCTTTGAGACAGGTTTTTAAACAATCACTTTTGTTTCTTGGTTGGGAAATGTTTGGACGCAAGGGAGGAAAAGATAAGTGTGCATTTTTTTTTTACCAATATCTGTAACTGTATTAAGCAAGTTTTACCTTGTTTAGTTTATTATCCCATTGCATTTCATGAGTGTACTTCACAAACTTCACGAAGAGAAGGCTGCTACAGAGAATTCCAAACTGGTTTGCTGCAGCATTTATAGGGTTGCATTTGAGTAAACCCTGTTCAAGCTGACTCTAGATGAATGCTCATGACGGACTATTAGTAATTTAGCAGATATATATATATATATAAATTTCAGCTTCACTTGATTAATTCATATGTCAGAGATTGCGTAGCTCCATCACTTTGGAAAGCGATCTGACAAGTGAGACAAAAACAGAAGATGCTCATTTATTAGCAGAGTCTGCAAAGACTGTGTTTGAAGAAGACTGTCTGAGCCTCAATGAAAGCATGCATTCTTCACCAGCTAAGGCTGATGAATGGAAGAAGCCTTCAAAAAGGATAAGTAATGGTGATGTTCTGAAAATGCAGTATGAATGCCTGTGTACTCAGAAGGAAACGTTGAATCCTAAAAAACAAAAATAGAAATTGCAAATTCATCTTTTGGAGCAACAGGTCAATGCCAAACAAACCTTTGCAACTGCATTCAATGCAAATTTTGTAGTTGCCAATGCTGATTCATTTTAAATGAGGAATAGTGTTAGAAGTCCTCTAAAAGAAATATTTTGGGCAAATGTTGTTCTTGTATAATTTATTATAAAACATACACAATGTATTTTGTTCTCAAAATGTATTTTGATGTAATAAAACAGATTCTTGAGTCAAACTTATTTTAATGTGTTTTTTCAACCAGAAACCCCTTAAATTCATATGTGAATTTTTATATTTCATGGGAAGTTAAATTAAAAGCAAAACTGATTGCATAAGGCAGAAATACAAATATTAAAAATTGTCAGAAAAAGGTGTTGCAGATGTGGTCTTGGATGACCTTGTCATCCTCTGGACCACAGAAGCAAACAAGATTAGGTTGATCATCAGCCTCAGCATAGCCATCCAAAGGTTCCTTTCTCAGAATTGCAATGTTGTGTAAAATTGCACATGCTCCAATGATGATGGACACTTTTTCTGGCTTCATTCTGATCTCAGAATGAAGCAGATGGAACCTTCGCTTCCACCAGCCAAAGGCTTGTTCTATTGCCACTCTTGTTCTTTTGTGGGCACTGTTGAACTCTTGCTGTTTGTCAGTGACTGGATTTGGGTAAGGGGTCATCAGGTATGGCTTGCAAGGGTAACCACTGTCACCCAACAGTAAACCATCTTTCAGGGTCCGGTGTTGGATATTAAGTTGTTAGCTAATTCTTGAATCCCTAAATATGAAGCTGTCATGGGTGCCGCCTGGCCATCGTGCTACAACGTTGGTGAACATGCCTAAAATGTAACAGCAAATAAGTTATGTGACCATTTCTTACCTATGATGTAGAAAATGTAATCTCGGTTTATAACAATAATTTACTGCAAAGAGAAACGACAATAATCGTGTCTATGATGAACTGGGGTAACTGATACAAAACTTTTCATTATTTGTTTAATCTGTGTTTTGAAATTTGGGAGACTGCATCATTTTGAAATCTCTGTTGGCCATTAGCTGTGCAATATATTTACAAATAGTGGTGTGATAATTTTGGTTAATTTTCCATATGTGTGTTTTTGTAAACCAACTCCACCTATAACATTTGAACCCAATGATTTTCATTTATTTTTGTTTTCAAAAAAGTTGTCAGTTGGGAACAGAATGTGTGTGAACCTAAATGTTAAGCAATATTTTGACTCGGATCTTCTCCTTTTTATACCCTCAATTCCTACTCAAAAAATAATTTTTTTTTTACTCCCGTATCCTGAGTATGTGAAACTGCAATCTAGTAACTCCCAACAATGCAACCCCATAGCACCTGGGTTTCTAGAAATCTTAATCTAAAACCTTCTATAAGGGGAGTAGCCCTCCCTGTCAAAGGTTATTTTGCAATTTTTATAGAACACTAATTGTGATATTTGAGTATTTTACCTACCTTTGTGATTGCAAATTGCTTGCACATTTATGGAATGGAACCCTTTACGATTGACAACATCGTTTTCATTTTCATCTGGTGCCTGAATTTTGATGCAAGTGCCGTCAACACAGCCAATCACCCCAGGAAACCCCCCCTTGGTAAAAAAACCGTGTTTGTTTTGAAGTATCTCCTCTTCGGTCGATGGCCACTTGAGGAAGTTTCTTTGTTTCTGTGTAAGGGCAAGTGAAACTTGGCTGATTATATGGGACATAGATGACTTTGAGAAGCTCAGAGTATCTCCAATAACTTGAAGAAAGCTTCTGGAGGTGAAAAAGCGCAACGCTACAAGGATTTGCACAGTTGTCGAGTATACCATGCCCAAAATAGGAATCATTTTTCTAGTTTTTTGGTTTAGTATGGATGATTAAGGTACTAAAAGAATTCAGCTGATTTGATCAGACTTATTTATTTTGCTTTTTTATTCTTTTATCTGTAACGTTGTTGGAAGGCCGGGCGACGGATTACAGATAAACGAAAACGGCGGAAAACACTCGATACGTGAACACAACTTTTAATCAACTAAAAACACGCTTTCATCCGGGTTACACTCTTATGTCAGCGGTGAATACTTCATGTAAAACAAACGAAATATCGTCACATCCCCTTGGCAAAAAAAAAAAATAAATACGAAATGCTAGCTAGAAAGAAAATAAGTCCTAGTGACAGTCCAAAGTCCTACTCAATGTTCTTAAGTCGTATCACTGTTCAAGAGTCATATCTGACTGGTTTCTTAACGACTCTGCCACTTCTAGTGGTGGTAACAGTCACTGCTGGCGCACTGGTAGAGACTCCAGAAGCAGGGACTGAGACTATATCACTGGATCTAGTCGCTTGCACACTGGTTGACTCTGGCTGAATGACAGAAGAACTGGTTGGTACCTCAGAAACGGACTTTCTGGTTGGTGGTACTTCGGAAGCAGGCTTTCTAGTTGGTACTTCCAGAGCAGCAACATTGCCACTGGGGACTACTCCTTTTGGTTGCTGTTGCTGTGCAAGGTCGGTTGAAGACTCCACAAATGGTGCTCTTAGGAACGGCTCTCTGGTCTGTCTGAGGTGTCTTCGGTTCCTCCTGTAGGTACGACCATCTTCTGTACGGTCCTGATATGACCTAATGTCAACTTCCTTATCAACAGTAGCCCTTGTCCACTCCTTTGAGTTAGGTCTCCGCTTCACACGCACTACATCTCCAGGTTTCAATCTGTTCAGCTCTTTGGCACCTCTGTCATAGTAGTAAGCCTGTTTGGCTTTCCTCTCCTTTAGCTTGTGGGGAACACCATGTACCGACCCAGGAACAAGCAGTCTTGAAGAAGTTTTGGACCAAAGTTTTGGTTCTCGAACCAAATAATCTCTGAGTGGGAGAGCTTCCAACCCCCTCAGTCGGAGTGTTTCTATAATCCAATAAAGACAAATTTGGATCTGTTCCTGCAAGACGGGCTTTCTTCATGATATTTTGAGCAGTTTTAACAGCATTCTCAACTTTGCCATCAGATTGAGGGTACCTAGGGGAGCTTGTGAGGTGCTCAAACTCATAGGCTAGTACAAATTCCTGAAACTCTCTTGAACTGAAAGGTGGTCCATTGTCACTTATAAGCTGATCAGGTGTTCCATGTCTAGCAAACTGAGACTTCAGCCTTGAAATAACCTCCTTGCCTTTCTTTCCAAAGATCCTGTCCACCTCAAAGTAATCTGAGTAGTAATCCACACAAACTAAATAATGCTTATCCTCAAAGTCAAAGAGATCACAGCCAACTTTCTCCCACGGTCTGCTTGGAATTTCATGACTGATCATTGGCTCTTTCTGTTGATCAGTTTGGTAACTCTTGCAAACAGAACAAGATGAGATGAAATCCTCAATGTCCTTGTTCATTCCAGGCCAGTAAACCACTTCTCTTCCTCTCCTCAAACAACCCTGAATACCAAGATGACTCTGGTGCAGTTTCTGCTTAATTTCCTCCCTCATACTCTGTGGAACTACCAATCTTTCACCCTTCAGTACTAAACCATCCTGAACAGACAGCTCATCTCTGAAATGGAAATAGCCCTGGATACTGACTGGAACTTCTTCCTTAGTGTCTGGCCACCCAGTCTGAATGACGGTTTTCAGGAGCACCATTTCACTATCTGCCTCGGTTGCACGCTGAACTCTGTCAAGGCCTTGAGGGCTGATTGATACAAAACTCAACGCATCAACAGCTTCAATTTCTTCCTCAACAGGAGATCTAACATTCACTGTAAGAAAGACATCCTCCTTTGAACACATGATCTGACCATGCGGAAGGTACGCTCTACTGAGGGTTTCGGCCAGATGGAGAAGAGTGCCTTTCTTGTACTCCACTTCAAAATCAAAGTTCCGCAAATGCAGCATCATTCTCTGAAGACACTTAGGAGCACTCAACAAACTCTTCTTAAGTATCGACTCCAACGGTTTATGGTCAGTCTCCACCTTGAATTTTCTGCCATAAAGATAAGACTCAAACTTCTTGATGCCAAAAACTATAGCCAAAAGTTCCTTTTCCATCTGAACATAGTTGCTCTCAGTTTCTGTTAGAGAACGAGAAGCATAAGCAATTGGTTGCCCATTCTGCATCAGGTAAGCTCCCAGACCATGTTGAGAA